AAGTAGGCTTGTCTGGCCCTGCCACGGACAGATAGTCAGGATCCCAATAACAGGTTACCAGGGCAGATGTTATTTTCTGAGCCCTTCTCTCTCTCTCTCTTTTTTTTTTTTTTTGAGACGGAGTCTCACTCTGCCGCCCAGGCTGGAGTGCAGTGGTATGATTTCGGCTCATTGCAACCTCTGCTTCCCAGGTTCAAGCAATTCTCCTGCCTCAGCCTCCCAAATAGCTGGAACTACAGGCGCACACCACCATGCCCAGCTAATTTTTGTATTTTAGTAGTGCTAGGGTTTCAGCATGTTGGCCAGGCTGGTCTCAAACTCTTGACCTCAAGTGATCCACCTGCCTCGGCCTCCCAAAGTGCTGGGATTACAAGTATAAGCCACCACGCCCAGCCACCTTGAGCCCTTCTCTAAACCCAGTCAGTGCCACGCTAACTTGTTCCCACAGAATTTTCTTATAGGAATTAACTCTCACAACTCTGCATTTCCCTGCAGTGAGCAAATGGAAGCTGTGAGAGGCTCAGTAATGCATATACAAAGCCGGTAGGTGGTAGGGCTGAAACTGAAGCCCTAAGGCCCAAGTTCTAAACTCCTATGCTTGGCCCACCGAAAATACTTTGCTTTCCTGAACCTACTTCCTTGTCTTTTTGGCTGGGGCACTGAAGCCAGGCATCTCTCTTCACACATCTCTCTTCCCAAAAGAAATCCACTAAAAAACCCCACCCCCAAAATACAAAAATTAGCGGGGTATGGTGGCATGCCTGGAGTCCCAGCTAAACTAAAATACAAAAATTAGCAGGGCATGGTGGTGTGCCTATAGACCTAGCTACTTGGGAGGCTGAAGCAGGATAATGGCTTGAACCTGGGAGGTTGCAGTGAGCAGAGATCTCGCCACTGCACTCCAGCCTGGGTGACAGGGTGAAATTACGTCTCAAAACAACAACAAAAAACACCGAAAAAACCCACCTGAGACTCCAATATACTCAGCACTAAGTTCACCCTGTGGCTCACCAGGCTTCACAGGACTGATCCCTGCATACCTCTCCATTGCTTTCTATCTTTTTTTAATTAGTCGCCTAGGCTAGACTCGAACTCCTGGGCTCAAGTAAGTAATCCTCCCACCCAACACCACCTGGGGCACCGCTGTGCCTGGCTCTAACCTCTTCTCGCATCACCCTCCTCGGTAACTCATGCCCACTACTTCCCTTTCCCTGAATGTATCACAGGCAGAGCACTCACTCCTTCCCCTTCCTATTCCCCATCTATCTGGCCAGCTCCACCCAGAATTCTCCCACGGTCCCCCTTGGACCCACTATTCTTTAGTGTGGTTACTACTCTATAAACTGTCCTTCCTGCTCAACCTGGAGCAACACCAGGTCAGAGGCTCTGTCTCTCTTCCACTGCATATGGTAGGTTCTCAATAAAAACCAGCTAGACTTGGCCAGGTGCAGTGGTTCACACTTGTAATCCCAGCACTTTGGGAGGCCGAGGCGGGTGGGTCACCTGAAGTTGGGAGTTGAAGACCAGCCTGACCAACATGGAGAAACCCCATCTCTACTAAAAATACAAAATTAGCTGGGCATGGTGGCGCATGCCTGTAATCCCAGCCATTCAGGAGGCTGAGGTGGGAGAATCACTTGAACCCAGGAGGCGGAGGTTGCAGTGAGCCGAGATGGTGCCACTGCACTCCAGCCTGGGCAACAAGAGCAAAACTCGATCTCAAAAGAAGAAAAAAACCCAGCTAGTCCAATACATGAAATGCCTGATGAGGGGGAGGCTTTAGGTCCTGGCTCAGCTGATCCAGTAACAGACTCTTTTCATCTGGTTGGCAGGCGTGTGTCAATCTCACTTGGAAGGAAGGAGGGAGGAAGGAAGGGCTGGTCAGAAAGATGCTTACACGGTTAAAGCACATTTGTCAGCCACGACAACATCCTCCATTTCCTTAAAAGCAGAAACAACCAAAATGCCCAATGTTCTAAGCCTAGCTTAGCAAATTTCAGTGTAGCAACTCAATGGACTTAATAGCAGTCATTAGAATTGTTGGGAGATGTTTAGATGATGTCAAAATGTCAAATGAAAAACAGGATTACAACCATGAAAAATACATGCCTGGCTGGGCATGGTGGCTCATGCCTGTAATCCCAGCACTTTGGGAGGCCAAGGTGGGTGGATCACTTGAGGTCAGGAGTTTGAGACCAGCCTGGCCAACATGGTGAAACCCTATCTCTACTAAAAATTCAAAAAAATTGCTGCGTGTGGTGGGCGTGGTGGCACCCACCTGTAGTTCCAGCTACTCGGGAGGCTGAGGCAGGAGAATCACTTGAACCCAAGAGGCAGAGGTTGCAGTGAGCCAAGATTACGCCACTGCACTCCAGCCTGGGTGACTGGCATGAAACTCCATCTCAAAAAAAAAAAAAAAAAGTGCCCTTGGATAAGGACAGACATATGGACACACACACACACACACACAGACACACACACACTCTGCTGCAAGGGTGCTGATAGGATTGTGTGTTTTTTTTCCCCCTGGAAAAAAAACACTTTTTTTTTTTTTTTTTTTTTAACATGGATTCTCGCTCTGTCGCCAGGCTGGGGTGCAGTGGTGTGATCTTGGTTCACTGAAACCTCTGCCTCCCGGGTTCAAGTGATTCTCCTGCCTCAGCCTCCTGAGTAGCTGGGACTACAGGTGTGTGCCACCATGCCCAGCTAATTTTTGTATATTTAGTAGAGAAAGGGGTTTCATCATGTTGGCCAGAATGGTCTCAATCTCTTGATCTCATGATCCACCTGCCTCGGCCTCCCAAAGTGCTGGGATTACAGCCGTGAGCCACTGTGCCCAGCCAAAAACATAATTAGTTTAAGCCATGGGGAACCAAAGGGCACTTTTTCTCCCATACTTGGAGCTAATGTTCTTCCCTTTCTGAGCTCTAAAAGGAGTGATCAATTTCTTATATCATCAACAGTTCAATTTTTTAGATCTACAAGAAGCTCTAGGCCATTCTTGCCCTGCTTCCAGGCCTTCATTCCCACCCCTACTCCCTATAGCCACAGGAGGAAAACAGAAGGGACAGGCAGAGAAAGCGTAGGAAAAGGCACATTATTAAACAAATAATACCTTTCTTGGTTGTGGTGAAATATTTTGAGTCAGTCATTTTGGTCCCTTATCTGTGGCCAGACTCCTGCAAGACAAAGAGAGGGTGACTTTCAGTTATGTTCCATTGCCTCTTCAGTTATGGTGTGCAGAGGGAGAAGGATCCAGAACACATGTAGTATAGGAAAACAGCTGCTTATCTCTTTCCTGGGCAAATGAACTGTTAGATCATGGCAGATTAGGTTTTGAAAAGTAATTCTGAGAATCTATCAGCTTTTTTTTTTTTCTTCAGAGATGGGGTCTTACCATGTTGCCTGGGCTGGTCTCAAACTCCTGGGCTCAGGCAATCTTCCTGCCTTGGCCTCCTAAAATGCTGGGATTACAGGCATGAGGCACCACACCTGGTCCTATCAAATTTTTGAATATGCCTCTTCTAGGAATCTTTCCCACATAAATACCTGCACAAGGATGTAAGGGCGTACAGCAGCAGCAGCCCCTTTGTGGGACCCATTTTGCTTAGCACTGTCCTAAATGCTTCGCACATGTTAATTCATTAGAAGCCTCATCACAGCATCGAGGCACTACCTTACCCTATAGAGTCAAATGAGATTAGAAAATGCCAAGTTTAAAAGGCTAGGGAGACTTCTCTCCACAACTTTTCTGAGCTTCTAAAATAGTAACATGTAGGATTCATCTCCAGAAAGGGCTATAATCTGTATTCTACAGAAGTTCCCAAATCTATCTGCTCAATTTTCTTAAAGGCTCTCTCATCGGGTGCAGTGGCTCACCTGTAATCTCAGCACTTTGGGAGGCCAAGGTGGGTGGATCACAAGGTCAGGCATTCAAGACCAGCCTGACCAAGATGGTGAAACACTGTCTCTATAAAAATACAAAAATTAGCCAGGTGTGTTGGTGTTTGACTATAATCCCAGCTACTCAAGAGGCTGAGACAGGAGACTTGCTTGAACCTGGGAGGTGGAGATTGCAGTGAGCCAAGACTGCACGCCATTGCACTCCAACCTGGGTGACAAGAGTGAAACTCTGCCTGAAAAAAACCAAAAAGGCTCTCTCAGGACATCTAGTGCAAAAAAGCTCACAGTGTGAGGTACCATGATAAGACAATAGGGGGCCAGGCATGGTGGCTCAGCCCTGTAATCCCAGTACTTTGGGAGGCTGAGGCAGGCAGATCACGAGGTCAGGGGTTCGAGGCTAGCCTGGCCAATATCTACTAATAATACAAAAATTAGCTGGGCGTGGTGGTGCGCCTATAATCTCAGCTGCTTGGGAGACTATGGCAGAAGAATCGCTTGAACCCGGGAGGCAGAAGTCGCAGTGAGCTGAGATCGCACCACTGCACTCCGGCCTGGGTGACAGAGCAAGACTCCGTATCTGGAAAAAAAAAAAAAAAAAAGGACAATCGGGGGCATGGTGGCTCATGCCTGTAATCCCAGAACTTTGGGAGGCAGAGGCAGGTAGATCAGCTGAGGTCAGGAGTTTGAGACCAGCCTGGACAACATAGTGAAACTCTGTCTCTACAAAAAATACAAAAAAGTAGCTGGGTGTGGTGATGGGCACCTGTAATCCCAGCTACTTGGGAGGCTGAGGCAGGAGAATCACTTGAACCTGGGAGGCAGAGGTTGCAGTCAGCTGAGATCACACCATTGCACTCCAGCCCAGGGGACAGTGTGAGACTCCATCTCAAAAAAAAAAAAAAAAAAAAAAGACAATAGAACAAAGTACTAAGGCTCCCTCATTCATTCAACAAACATTTACTGAGCACCTACTATGTACCTCAAAGTTCTTCTGGGGAACAGATCAAAGATAAAAGAAGTTACAAGGGAAACAAGTTACCCTAGATACAAGGCTTCTGGGATTGTTCTAGGATTTATTAAGAAGCTATAATTTACTGAGCCCCTATTAAAGGCAGGTGCTTCACCCACATTATCTCATTTAATCTTGTCAATAATGTAACTGTTTTTAATCCCATTTTATGGATGATGAAACTGACTCAGGGATGTTACAGAGCTTGCCCAAGGTCACATGGCTTGTACGTGGCTAGGCTAGGAGACCATCTCAGGTCTCCCTGAGCTCAGTCCCTATGCTCTATCGATGAAGGAATTCTGCTTCCCTCTTCTTACAAGGATGACAGTTCCCTGATAGTGGCTAAGGACTCAGTCAAAAAAAAAAAAAAAAAATTGAGGCTGGTGCAGTGGCACACACCTGTAGTCCCAGCTACTCAAGAGGCTGAGGCACAAGAATCACTTGAATCCAGGAGGCAAAGGTTGCAGTGAGCTGAGATTGTGCCACTGTACTCCAGCCCCTGCAAAAAAACATTGAGACTTTCAAGCATAGCCTTCCAATCCTATCTGTAGTTTTATGTGCTATAGAAAACCACACAATGCCAAAAAAATAGACATTTGAATGGATAAACCCCACTTCACTTTGTCCCTTTTGTTGCGTCTATGGAAGGGACTCAACCCACCAACATCTCCTTTCAAGTCATTACTATACAGGGGTGAGATGAAAGTTACTAGTGCAATGGATGTTAGGGATCAGGAGTCATTTCACAGTCTCTGGAAACCAAGCCAACATAGCTCCTCCACTCCAGCCCAATTGGATTTTTCCAAATTAAGCGTATTTATGGCAGGATGGCATTGAGCAAGGCTCCCAACTGAGAGACACCATAGATTTTGTTTCAGTAATCAATGGGAAACAAATATGTACTGTCTTGGGGTCACCTTAAATCTTTTGTGGATCCTGCAGGAATAAAGGCTTAAGTGACAAAACAGTTTGAAGAAAAAGGCACAATTCTACTTTCCTTTTGCTTTGCAAAGATGAAAAGGGAGGATGGCACTTTTCTGTGGGAGCTGCGGGAAAGAGCAGAAGAGCCCGCTGTGCCTGATGTTGCAAGTCCACAGTGGGGACTCTAACTTGCTGGTCCTCCCAGCATGAGTCAGGGATCTAGACAGATCCACAAAGGCAGGCCCCCGCATGGGCCAGGCTCACAGCTCCCGTTCGCCCTTCTCTTTCATGCCTGGCCCAGGCTCCGTATACAGCAAGTATTCAATTGATGGTTGTTGAAAAGAAATGAAAAGGGGCCACTGAAAATCCCAGGGAGCCTCAGCCTGCTCTCTGGCAGCCCTGTTACGTAACTAGTTAGCGTTTGTTTCTAACAGGAATTTACTGACATTAAATATGATTTGTTCTTTTTTTTTGCACACACATAAAGCCATTTTCTCAGAAACCTCACCAACCTAGGGGTTCTTTGGGGAACTCTGAAATAAGCAGGGAAATCAGATAATGGGATTTCTGCTTTACAATAAAGATCTGCATAGTTCCAGAAGTCACAGACTTGAAAGCGTAACTGGCAAACGTATCCAAAATAATAGGATAATATCATTTCTTGAGGTTGAATGTAAGAAGAGGGATAATTGAAGGCAAAAGGGGCTAAAACTCACAGGCCACAAAGAAACACAGAAAGTAACACAGAAACCACTCGAATATTAAATCTAGAAAGAAATAAAAGTGGCCAGGTGCAGTGGCTCACACCTGTAATCCCAGCACTTTGGGAGGCCCAGGTGGGCGGATTCCTTGAGCTCAGGAGTTTGAGACCAGCCTGGGCAACATGGTGAAACGCTGTCTCTATCCAAATACAAAAAATTAACCAGGCATGGCAGCATGCACCTGTAGTCCCAGCTACTCAGGAGGCTGAGGCAGAAGAACTGCTTGAACCCGGGAGGTGGAGGTTGCAGTGAGCTGAGATCACGCCGGGTAGCAGAGTGCGATTCCATCTCAAAAAGAAAGAAAGAAAGAAAAGTAAATAAAACAAAATAACTTAGCTATCTAATGTCAGAGCTGCTCAGAATTTCTTGCCTGTCCAGCAGAAAAAGCTGTCAGGGGCTTTGCCCTCCCCTGCAGGCCCAACACATCAGAGGGCCCTAAATTCCCAGGACGCAACCTGCTGGTGACAGATCTGTGCCGAATGCAACTGACCAAGAGGAGAAAAGGGTGAGAAAGCTTCTCTTTCTGGGTATTTAAAAAAAAAAAATAAAGTGACAGAGCTGCAGGGTAGTTAGTCAAACCACAGCTGCAGATACCCCGACAGTGTTGAGCTTTCCTTGACATTCTTCCTTTACAGGTGCTGAGCAACTACTCACAAACTTAACTGCCACTCATTGTGCTGGTGCTGGCTGCAGCTTTTTTCTGCAGTATCTGTTTCGCATATCCCTCTGCAGAGGGCCCAATGGGAATGATGATGCAGAAATCATATCTCTCTGAAGTTGTTTTATATGCAGGAAATTAGAGAAGGAAGGAGATGTGGAGAAAAGTGAAACACTTTGGAAAGCCACCCCAAAGATTAAAAAACAAAACAAAACACCTCATCTCACCGTGAATGATCTCCTACCTACAGCTTAGTGATGTACTGAGGGCAGCAATCTCCTCGTGTCCTTTCTCCATTGTGAGCATCTAATGCTGGTACCTGGTCTTGCAGCTGCCTCTTGGATGTCAGTGCAAGAGAGATTTCTCATTCTCTCTGCAGGAATGTAAAAAACCTGACAGTTCAGTCCTAAAGGGGCTCAGACTGGTAGATATCATGGGAAAGACTGGTGCTTTTCCTGGCACTGCTGAGCTGCTATCATACACTGTATCCCTATCCCATGGAGGCCAAAGGGCTGAGACCTTGCTCTCTGATAAATCTGATCGGGTACATGAACTACATTTGAAAGCAGGCAGCAAATTTAGAGAAGAAAAAGCTTAGGGTTTGGATTCCATCTTTGAAAGTGTCAGGGCACATTATTTAAAAGTAGTAATTACAGGGAATTTCTGATTCAGAAACTGCTATGGCCAGTATAATGAGTCACTTTTGCTAAGGAAACAGTATTCTGGGCTGGGATCCCCTCAATTTCAGCATTTACAGGCCACGGAATGGCTCAAGGGGATGCGCACAGTCAAAATTAAAAGAGGGGCATATCTGGAACAACTGGTTTTGCCCTTGAGGAGCCAATGCAGCTGTCCCCCTCTTAATATTTCTCACACCCACATTTGAAAGATTATGACTTTGATGTCACATCCCAGAACCAGTTCTGG